GGTGTTGATGGATTCCCAGTTGAATTTTTCAATCAACAATAGGAGGAGGTAAAAGAGGATGTGATCACTGATGTGCTGGACTTCTTCCAAACAGGAAAGTTACATAAGGCTATCAACAGTACTGCTATCACTCTAATTCCAAAAGTCACTAACCCCACCCAGGTTAAGGACTTCAGACCTATAGCATGTTGTACAACACTTTATAAGATCATCACTAAAGTTATCACTGGCAGGCTAAAGAAAGTGATGAATCATCCGGTGGGGGATTCACAATCAACTTTTATAGAGGGTAGAAGCATTACTGATAATATTCTATTCACTCATGAACTGTTTAAAGGATACAACAGGAAAGGGATATCTGCAAGATGTGTACTTAAGGTTGATCTCAGGAAGGCATATGATACTTTGGATTGGTATTTTCTAAAAAGGATGATGATTGAACTGGGATTTCCACACAAGTTCATTGAGTGGATAATGGAATGCATAACAACTGTTACCTACTCCTTGACTCTGAATGGAGGACTCACTGAACCATTTAGAGGTCAAAGGGGAATAAGGCAGGGTGACCCTATGTCACCTTATCTATTTGTGATTGCCATGGAGTATCTGCAAAGAGAATTCAATCAACTTGCACTAAATAAGGAGTTCCACTTCCACCCTAGGTGCAAAAAGCTGGGAGTGGTACATGTGTGTTTTGCTGATGATTTACTGATGTTTTGCAAAGCAGATCTGCCTTCTATCAGGCTGCATCAACAAGCTTTTATGAAGTTTTCAAAAGCCTCAGGTCTTCAAGCTAATCCAGACAAGAGCTCCATTTATCTTGCTGGTATTTCTGATAGTATGAAAGAGGACATTTTGCAGGAATTGGGATACAATGAAGGCACACTGCCATTCAAGGAAGCTGACAAATCAACAATGTTGGCCACTGGTAGAGAGAACTGCAAGGATCAACTGCTGGACATCAAAACTGTTGTCATATTCTGAAAGGCTTCAGCTTATTAAATCAGAAATCTTTGGAGTACAGTCTTACTGGGCACAAGTGTTCTTATTGCCAAAGAAGATAGTAAAAATGATTGAAGTCATATGTAGAACTTACTTATGGACAGGTCAGCAGAAATCTCTAGGAGAGCATTGGTAGCTTGGGACAAAATTTGTTCGCCACAAACATTGGGGGGTCTAAATGTTATAAATCTGTGTAACTGGAACAAAGCAGCAGTGGAAAAACATCTATGAGCAATCACCAAGAAAAAAGATTGCCCATGGATTAGATGGATCCATTCTTACTACATAAAGAACAAGATCATTGATACCATGCCTATACCCAAGAATGCAGCTTGGGTAGTGAGGAAAGCTATTGAGCTTAGGAAGTTTATACTGGAATTACCTACCTTGCAAGGAGACCTACTTTCAAGACTGACAGCACTACAGAGCACAGATGGGAGATTCAGTATAAAGAAGCTACACAAGATGCAGACTCCTCAGGGCCAGAAGGTGTACTGGAAGTGTCTGACTTTGCAACCTCATATACACCCTCGACATAAGTTCAATTTATGGTTGGCTATCCAAGGGAGATTGCCAACTGTTGAAAGACTACAGAAGATGGGCATCCAAGTTCATTCATCTTGTGTTTTCTGTGGACTGGCAGATGAACATTTTGAACACCTCTTCTTTGACTGCTCATACACGAAGACTATATGGCAAAGACTATTGAATTGACTGGGGTATCCAAAGCAGATAAGAACATGGACAGAGAAACTACAATGGGTGACAACCTATGCTAGGCAGAAGATGGGAATTGGAACTATTATTCCAGCTGTTTTTGGAATGCTTATATATCTCTTATGGAGAGATAGGAACATGATCGGATTTCAAAATGGACGATCTTCATCAGAGAGTATATGTCGCGAAATTGCAAGCTATGTACATATAAAGGGCAATTCTCATTTCAGCTGGCAGAAGCATTTGGTGATATTGAATAGATATCCTTAGCCTAACTTAGCTTAGTAATTCATAATTGTTCTTTTGTCTGCTTGATTATAGAGAATTGTATAGGCTGAGGTATTTGCATAGGATATAGCTGGAATACACCTTATAGGTGATATAGATGAATTAGTTGTCAAGGAGAGGCAAGGAACTGGTCAGCAGCTCCTATTTTGTAATGATCAGTTTTTTTGATGAAATCGAAATGATAGTTTATCGAGAAAAAAAAATTAGTTACTCTTTTTGAATTTGAATATAAAATCTATCTATCTATCTATATATAATAAGAGAGCCAAAGACACCATAGTAAGCCAAGTGGCAACATAATAAAAAGTCACTTGACGGGTTTATATAGTAATATTATCTACTAATCAAATATAACAATAAAAAAAAATCTATCTATATATAATAGGAGAGACAAATATACCATAGTAAGCCAAGTGGCAACATAATAAAAAGCCACTTGACAATTTTAGGATAAAATTAGTTAAATTAAGTAATAATTAATATCTTTTTGAATTTAAATTTTTTTTAAAATAAATTATGCACTATGTGTTGTTAATAATTAGTTACTGTTTTAGAATTTGAATTTAAACATCTATCTTATCTATATATAATATGAGAGACAAAGACGCCATAATAAGCCAAGTGGCAACATAATAAACAGCCACTTGGCGATGTTAGGACAAAATTAGTTAAGTTAGGTAATAATTAATTTCTTTTTTAACTTTAAATTTTAAAATAAATAAATTATGCACTATGTGTTGTTAATAATTAGTTACTCTTTTTGAATTTGAATTTAAGTATCTATCTATCTATATATATTAAGAGAGCCAAAGACACCATAGTAAGCCAAGTGGCAGCATAATAAAAAGCCACTTGACGGGTTTATATAGTAATATAATCTACTAATCAAATATAACAATAGAAAAAATCTATCTATATACAATAGGAGAGACAAAGACATCATAGTAAGCCAAGTGGCAACATAATAAAAAGTCACTTGGCAATTTTAGGGTAAAATTAGTTAAATTAAGTAATAATTAGTATCTTTTTGAATTTAATTTTTTTTAAAATTAATTATGCACTATGTGTTGTTAATAATTAGTTACTATTTTTGAATTTAATTTAAACATCTATCTATATATAATAAGAGAGGCAAAGACACCATAGTAAGCCATGTGAAAACATAATAAAAAGCTACTTGACGGGTTTATATAGTAATATTATCTACTAATCTATACCAGTAGGAAAAAAATATACGAAAAGAGAAAATTAGACTTAATGTTAGGATATTTATAATTTGAATTAATTGGAAAAATATTTTAAATAATATCACTCAATAAAATTATTGATAAATTTTGACAATTCCTGGAAAACACCTAACCCAAAACCCACGTCTTAAAAAAGAAATTTCCCTTTATTCCATCATCAAAATCTTCTTAATTAAAATTTAAAAAAAAAATCTTAATAAAAGAATCTATTATTCTCAAAATTTCTATTTGATATGCCAGCATATTTCAGCATTCTCACAAACGGTGATAATTATTACGAACCTATATAAATAAAATTTTGTACCATAGAAAGATTTCTTGGTCGCCTAAAATATTCTCCAAGGGATATATATTTATCAAATCAGGCAACTTTTCAACCTTTTAATTATATTATTACTCATATATTTTTATATTATTGCATCAATATTTATCAGTTGATATAGTAATATTATATTTAATATTGGAAAAATTTCGCATAAGAACAAATGGGATCCCTACTTTTCAATTTTATAGCTCATATTTCAAATTACAACCAACTAGCACAAAAATAATAGGCTAAGATTCAACATCCAACTCCAATAAATTCTCGAAATTACTATTTAATTTTTAAAAAAGATTGCTCAAGCTTTTAAGTTAATTTTCGAATCAGCAACTATAACTCAAATATTAGTTCAATAAACCAAATTCATTTGAATAGTGAAAATTAGATTTTCAACAAGCTTAAATATGTGGGTTTAGACTCCAAATTTGATTGTGTGAAAAATTTGGAGTGGGTGTTATTTAGAATTGTTAGATATAGTATAAGGAGATTGTATATAAAATTTGAAGTCATTTAATGGAGATTTGGACTGGTTTTGAACAAGAATTGCAACTGAAAATCGTGGAAGAAGTTCGTCTACAGACGCTTGTATAAAGGTGTATAAAAGTGTATAAGATGTGTTTATACACCCATATACACTATTATACAAGATTATACAAAAAACTGACTTCGTCTTCTTCCTTGCGTCTTTTCTGAAATTTAACTCAAATCTTGCTCAAATCTACTCAAAATCACTTCAAATTGAAATTTTGAACTCCTTTTGATAACAACAACAACAACAACGACAACGACCCAGTGAAATCTCACTAGTGGGGTCTGGGGAGGATAGTGTGTATGCAGACCTTACCCCTACCCGAGGGAGTTGAGGCTGTTTCCGAAAGACTCTCGGCTCAAGACAAAAGGACAAAAGGAGACAATATCAGTAACACCACAGAAATCATAGGACTTACCAAACAATTAACAAACTCAAAAAATCCTATTATCGAAAGCAAAGCTTTGAATAGCCTTCAATGGTGGGACTTCTACTCTTCAATTTTCTTACATTGCAACCAGGTGACACAGGGGGAGAAGCAGTAATGGCGGCCCCTTGAAGCATATGTAGAAGATGTAAGAAGAAAAGGGAGTGAAAGCAATGGTTGTGAGAACACAAATTTAACTCCATAGATATTGAATTTACTAGTGCTTTCAGAATATGTACAATATGGGCTAGGTCGGGTAAAACGTAAAAATATGGGTCAATTTTTGTTATGATGTGATGTCAAGTGTATCTCCGTGCAACGTGCGGGTATAAATACTAGTGTATATTTAAAAAGGAAGCATTTTGGTCATAAAGTTCTTATAGGGCCTTTTTGCGTTATTAATTGTTTATTTTTAATCCAAAAAATAATGTTAATGACAATTATGATACAATATATGGAAGAAGATGGATGTTTGATACTAAAAATAAGTTAGTGGCAATTTTTGTGATTTAATAAGTGGAAGAAGGGCATTTTTGACAGTTTACCTATTTTCCAAAGTTGCTGGTTCCATACCGTCTCCACCGGGATCACAACCGCCGATCGGCTCGCTCTTACTGCTAGTGCGACCTTCGGCTAGGTATCTTCTTCTTCTCTTCTCTCTTCTTAACTTTTTTACTTGATCTTCTCTTTTTGTTTTTGAGTTTTTGCTTCGTTTTTTTCAATTGGAGAATGATTAAGGAACATTGAATACTCTGATTTTGTGAAAGTGAATTGCTAGTTGTGATTTACGAACTTACAGTGAATTTCTATTTTAATTTGTTATTGGGTTACAGAAGACGTTCTTTGTCATTTAATTAGTGAAATTCATGTTTCTTAGCTTACAACAGCTTTTAAGTAACTTCACATTGGAATTTAAATGAATTTGAACGTATTATTTGTTAATCATGGATGGCTTAGATAAGTAAATTATGAGAGTTACGAACTTCCTAAATAAGTAATCCTATACTCATTATGTAGATTTTGCTTCTGCACCCAAGGGTGTCGCTTAGTGGTCAATGAATTGGGTTGGGAACCATGAACTCTAAGGTTCAGATCTCAGCGGAGACAAAAAAACACGCGTGATTTCTCCCATATGTCCAAGCCTTGGTGGACAAAGTTACGTAATACCTGTTGCTAGTGGGAGCTAACAGGTATCCCGTGGAACTGGTAGTGGTGCGCACAAGCTGGCCTCGACACCAACTCGATTTTGCTTCTTAGGTCATAAATTTTTTATTTTCCTATTTATTTGTTGCTTGGCGACTTTTAGTGATTATCTTATCAAGAGTGAAGTATTCACAAGTTAAAGGAAAATCTCCAAAATAGAGTTTTTATGAGAGATTATTTAGTTTTATTTGGATTAAAAAAGAGATATTTGTAATGACTAGAATAAAAAGAAAGAAATTTGGAGAAATTACTTTTCTGAATATATATTTTGCTTGTTAACTTGATCCAATCATTGTTGCTTGTTGATTTGAAGTTGTTGTCTTAATAGAATCTGCACCCAAGGGTGTGGCTAGTGGTCAATGAAGTGGGTGAGAACCATGAGGTCTCATGTTCAAATCCCAGTGGAGGCAAAAAACACTAGGTGATTTCTTCCCGTCTATCTAAGCGTTGATGGATAGAGTTACCCGATACCTGTTGTTGGTGGGAGGTGGCAGGTACCCCATGGAAATAGTCAAGAAATTAGTCGAGGTGCGCGCAAGCTAGCCTGGAAACCACAATTATAAAATAAAAATAAAAATAAAAAAATCTGCTGTGGCGAACACCTTGATCCACCACTGTGATTTTCGCTTACGTCTTCTTTGCCTTCCTTTTTTTATTGTAAAATGTTAGCAAGCTTTAAATTTTTAAGTTTATTTTCTATTTGTTTTTCATTATCCATTTAGCTGCAAACTCTTTTTCTTTATTTATTTATTTTTTGCATTTTTAGGATCTGATTTATTGATCCTACGATATCTATCTATATCTTTATTTCTTTATGTATTTATTTATTTATTTGTTTTTGCATATTATGCCCTCTGATGTTTTGATATAATTCTATTTCAGAAGCTAAATCCGTGTTAGTTAAGGATCTTCAATTTCATTTTAGAGAAAAAAAGCCCAAAGAATCAGTGACTTCAACAACCTATTGTGAAAGCTTGCAATTTGATAAAAACACATTTCAGAGAACTGCAAGAGGGGGAAGAAATATGGGATATTGGCTTATGCTCAGTGCTGTTATTGCCGTAACGGTGGTAATTGCTCAAGCAGTAAGATTATTGTTAATGGTAATCAATGGCTGGAGAAATAGAAAGAAGGCTGTTGGGGTCTTCCACCCATTCACCAATGACGGAGGTGGTGGAGAACGAGTCTTGTGGTGCGCTGTGAAAGCCATCCAAGATGAATACCCAAATCTAGATTGTGTCATATATACAGGAGATCATGATGCTTCTCCTGACAGCCTTACTGGCCGTGCCCTTGATCGATTTGGAGTCAAATTAATCCGCCCTCCTAAGGTACCCTTTACTTCTCGGTGTGTTTTTCTCTGCGTACATGATATTATTTCTGTTATTTCATTTTACATGATAGAGTTTGACTTGAAATGAACTCTAGGGATATCTATTTGACTTACATATTTTATCAGCGACAGTGGAATAATATCAAAGTGATGGTTGAAAAGTTGTACTTTGATAGGAAATGTCAATAAATTTGAAAGCATAACTGATTTAAATTCTTAAAAGTAGTATTAAACTAGAATACTATCAATCATTAAGTCACAAAATAAAATGTTGTCACGTTTGCTTTCTGTTTAGCTAAACAAACAACTTCCTTTTTCACTTTTGCTCCCGTTTCTTCATCTTCCTCCCCTCCCCCCACCCACGCCCAAGCTCCACCATTAGTATCAAGTGTTTTAGTTATAAAGGGAACTCCCAGGTCGTCAAAGTCTCATTTGAGGGTGCTTAAGCCCTGAAGCTCATAGAAGCTCGGGCTAGGCGCTTTGCCTCACTTCAGCTGCGCTTCAGTTTAGGCAAGGCACTAAGGCGTACGCCTCATTGCCCATTAATTCTATCTTGAATAGAGAGCTAGCAAAAATTAATATGATTGGCAAGAAGCTACATTAATTGTTAAGTAAATCATTATGAATAAAGTTGTTACTTTTTCTTGCATTAAATATGTATTTTTTTTCTCCTCTGTTGCGCTTTTTTTAACTAAAGCCCACACTTTAGTTGCGCTTTGCACTTAAATTCCCGATAGAACTAGAACGCTTTCTAATGCTTTTTGCCTTTGACAACACTAAATTCAACAGTATCACGTAGTCTTTGTGCTTCTTCTATCCCTGATAAGACATTGAAATCCTCCTCAACATTCTTTATTGTAGCACCAGGAATACACTCCTATTCTTTTGAATTCTAATATTTATTTATGTTAGTTTGTAGCTGCTTTGAGATATCTGTATTGTATATTCCTTCTTCTCCTTTTACCTGTATTGCTGCATCTTATATTCCTCTTTTTGATGCTTTATTACTGGTATATGTTTGACGGTGGTAATCACAAACACATATAATACCCTATCCAGATAATTGCTGAATAGTGTAGTTGTTCTTTCGAAACTTCAATATATTGACATTCAATGTCATTTTGCTCAAGATTACTGATTTCCTGCAGTTTACATCAGGTGGTCCATCTGCATAGGAGAAAGTGGGTCGAAGAAACCACTTATCCTCGTTTCACTATGATTGGTCAAAGCTTTGGATCGATTTACCTTTCTTGGGAAGCTTTGTGCAAATATACACCTTTATATTACTTTGATACTAGTGGATATGCTTTTACTTATCCAGTTGCCCGTGTATTTGGATGCAAAGTTTTTTCCTATACTCATTATCCAACTATCAGTTTAGACATGCTATCTCGTGTTCATGGGCGCAGTTCAATGTACAACAATGATTCCTTGATTGCCAAGAGGTACTACATATCAGCATATGCCATCTATATGATATCTTACCCTTTTTCTTTTGTGTTGTAAATTGTAAAAATCTGCCATCTGTAGAATTTCATGATAACAAGTCAATTAGTCATTTTGGGAAGTTTCTGTTACTAAGCACCTAAAAGGCCATGCTTAGTTTGGCGAGCCTTTGTCATTGTCTGTCAACTTAAGTGGTGCCTAAGGCCCGTATGAGGAACTGTTGATCTGCTTGTGTCTTTTTTCTTTGCCTTCTAATATTAACAATTTTATTAGTTGACCTTGTGACATGTATGCATATCTTTTTACCAAATTAATGTGGTCATTCACTAACTGGCAGTCGTAAGAAGATATAATGGCAAGATGTTATTCCGCTTCTCCATGAAAGTGTACATCTAGATGCATTAGTGGGTCTTCTGAAATTATATATCCAAGGGACTGAATATGATAATATTGTAATGTCTTTGCATTTTCTCCGCTTGTATCTGTGCATGAAGCTCATGAAATTGCTTTTCTGGCAGTGCGTTACTATCCCGGTTCAAGGTTGTTTATTATACGTTGTTTAGCTGGCTGTACAGCTTTGTCGGTTCTTGTGCCCACCTAGCGATGGTTAATTCTTCATGGACCCAATCTCATATTGAGAAGCTGTGGGGAATACCAGCTCGAATTAGGCGCGTGTATCCTCCTTGTGATACTTCTAGGCTTCAGGTCTGTATTCTTAACTCTTTTGGTGTTAATATAACCCTTGTTCCTCCTCCTGGCGCCTAAAGTTTTTATGCTTTCCCTCTTTTCTGTAGATTTGATTAAATTAATAAGTTGTGGTTGATAATTTTACTATTGTGCTGTCCTTCATTTTTGCATTAATGAAGTATATGACGAAAGTAGGACTGAGTGCAACTTTCAGACAAATTTCTCCTCTCAATCCTTATTTGGACTTTCATGACTCGTGATTTTGTTGAAAATTGAGGGAAATGACATTACTGTATTCCTTTTTTAGAAGGTCTTATTAATTCTTATGCTGAGTCTGGGATGGAGGGTAAGCAATTGCATTTTTGCATGGCAAATATAAACAAAAAACTTGACACTGCTCTTGACAGGCGCTTCCGCTGGAAAAGTCAATGAAGCCTCCGAAGATAGTATCTGTGGCTCAGTTCCGTCCAGAGAAGGTAGGCATTTTTGTGTGGTCCTTGTAGAAATCAAGGTACCCATACTTTTGCAGGTGTTTCAAGGTATATTGCAATATTGAACTTTTGTAAAACTTGGTTTTTCTGTGAGTTAGGCACACCCTCTCCAACTTGAGGCATTTGCAGTTGCCATCAAGAAGTTAGACCAAGATCTGCCAAGGCCGATTATCCAATTAGTGGGTAGTTGTAGGAATGAAGCAGATGAGAAAAGGTTGCAAAATCTAAAGGACCTAGCTATTAAACTGAATGTGGATGATCATGTTGAGTTCCACAAGAATGTCACGTACAGGTTAGTGGTACAACTCCATTTTGTTTGTATGAAATTCTTAAACTCCAAGGCATGATTTTACTGAATTTTTAGGTCCACAACTTTTCTTTAATTGCTTGAAGCTATTCATTAGGGATGGGCTTTTATTGCCTTGGCTAGCGCGC